TACGCAATTGGGAAAGGATGAGTGAGTGAGTTGGGTTTTACGCCGCTTTTAGCAATATTCCAGCAATATCACGACGAGGGACACCACAAATGGGCTTCTCACATTCTGCCCATGTGGGGAATCGAATCCGGGTCTTCGGCGTGAGAAGAGAAACGCTAATAACCACTAGGCTACCCCAACGCCCGAGAAACGATGACATGTGTCAACCAAGTCAACGAGCCTGACCATCCGAACCCGTTAGTCGCCTCTTCGACAAGCATGGGTTACTGAAGACCAATTCTAACCCGGATCTTCACGGGTCAATGGGGATTCGAACTTTCATTAAGAATGGCGCTTCGGAAGTACATTACGTGATAACAGCACGAGCATATGAATTATTTTAAAACCTTTAATGTGAATACCATGTCCTCAGTCATCAACGGTATTAATTAGTGTTGGGAATTGGTTAAAATCTCATAATTGATGATTGGTTCATTACTACCGATCAATCATCGAAAATAATTGGTTATCATCATTTATGAAATTTGTTAATGCACATGAAAATAAGGAAAACAAACCATGTGATTCTTTTGGGTTTTTTTTTTGGCAAAATTTCATATCTTTAAAGGATGACTAGTATGTTAGGAACATAAATTTCTTGGAATCTTTAAGATAAATTCAATCATGACTTGAAACGAGCTTGTAGTGCTTAAAAAATATAACAGACAAAACCAACCATGTGAAAAATATTGTTAATGAAAACAAGTCTTCCAGAATTGTTTGTGTTCGATTATGAGAAATTATCATCGATTGCTTGGTCGTTTAGTCACTACGACCAATCTTCGATTATTTCAATTAATCGGACCACCACTAGTATTAATATGCCAAGATGTGTTCCCGACCACTCTGTCTTGTGTTGGAAACTGTGTGTGCCTGTGGGTAAATATGTGAATAATGATGATGCTATAGGTAGTGGCAGTGAGTGCGATAGCGGTAGATTTGAGTGTAAACAATATGTTGGTAGAAAGGTTACAGCATCTTTTTATCTTCAAGGGGATGAGGTTTCGAGTCAGGTTAATGAGGGTTATTATTAAACTTGAATCACAACTTAACGCTCAGCATGATGTTAATTCAGTTTATTCAGAATTTCTAAGTTTTATGTACGCAGAATTAGACAAAGTTGCAGTAGGTAAGCCTAAGAGTAATAATTCAAGCAGTTGTAAATCCATGTATAACCCTTATTGGTCTTCAGAACTAGTGTTGGGAATTGTTTAAAATTTAATAATTGATGATTGGTCCATTACAACCGATCAATCATCGAAAATAATTTGTTAGCGTCATTTATCAAATGTTCCTGTTATTTTTGTTAATGCACAATAAAATAAAGAAAAAAACATGTATTAATTTGTTTGTTTTTTTGCAAATTGCATAAAGTCCATTTTTGCAAATTTTGCATATTTAAATGATGATTAGTATGTTAGGAACACATATTTCCTGGATTCTTTAAGATAAATTCAATCATGACTTGGAACGAGCTTGTACATGTAGTGCTTATGAAATGTAAATTTATTGAGACAGACAAAACCAGCCTTGTGAAAAAATAATGTTAATGCAAACAAGTGTTCCAAGATTGGTCGTGTTCGATTATAAGAAAACATGTTCGATTGCTTGGTCGTTTAGTTCCTGCGACCAATCTTCGATTATTTCAATTAATCGGACCACCACTATTCAGAACTACAACTTCAATAGGATAAGGTCAGGGTCTCAGAAAGGGCGTGGTTGTGCTGCAAACCTTCTGTTAAGAGGAAAGGTCTTAAACATGTATTTGTATCTGAAAGGAAAATCTTTGATGAGCAGGTAAGAAGGGATAAGTGTCTGTTTCAGCTAGAGGAACAACAACGGTTGCTAGATAAACATGCAGATAGGGACTCTCGAAGTTTCTGGAGGACTATTGGTAGAATAGGTATTTCTAGTGATAGACTTAATAGCATCCCTTAGCAGGTAGTGAGTGATGGCGAGGTGTACACGGATAGAGCAACTGTTCTTGGTAGATGGCAGGATGATTTTCCTTCTCTATTGCAGATGCTGATTATCCTTCTTTTAACACCGCTCACCTACAACATGTCAACAGTGAAATGGACAAGGGTCACGTGCGTACTAGGCGTGGAATGGCAGCAGGTCCAGACTGTTTACCAGCAGAGGCATTAAAAAATAAATTCTGTATTAAAATCCTGCATAACATTTTTAGATTTGTTTCAAGTTTAACACTGTCCCCGACATTTGGCGTCATAGCTTTCTCAGTCCAATCAAGAAACCTGATTCTGATCCACGTGATCAACTTGGATACCGGGGCATTTCCTTGTTGTCTGTCCCCTATAAGATCTATTCGGACATTCTGAACGTTAGATGTGTTAGTTGGTTGTAAAGGAATAGTTTCTTAGTGGAAAAACAAAATGGCTTCCGTTCGGGTCGAGGGACGCAAGAAAATATACATGGTTTGTATTCAGTCCTTAAAAAAAAAGAATAATAAGAAACAGTCTACCTTTGCTTGTTTTATTGATGTCATGAAGGCCTTTGATAAAGTTAACAGGTTTAGGGTATAACTAACTATATTTGGGAATTACTAGGAAATTTCTGCATGCAGTTCTGGAAGGGTTAATAACGAATACAAACATGCTTGTGAAATTCAATCTGGAGTCCGCCAAGGATGCACATTATGTCTGACGTTATTCTCAGTGTATATTAACGATCTTGCGCCTGAAATTAAAATCTTAGGATCTGGCATTGACATAGATGGAGTTACGGTGAGTCTTCTCCTTTATGCTGACGATATTGCCTTGATAGCCCCGGTGAGTTTTCACTACAGAGACTGTTAGATGTTGTGTCTGATTGGTGCTCCAGGTGGTGTATGTTGGCAAATATTAAGAAAACTAAAGTTGTTCACTATCGTCCCTCTTCTATTGCCAGGTCAAGTTTTACATTCAATATTGGCTGTAATGTTTTGGAATATAACTCTGCCTATAAGTGTAACATATGTATGTCTGGCCAACAGAGGCCTTAGCATTATCAACATTACCAGTTGTAGGTTTGCAGTATGTACTAATGGGGAGATCACTCCAGTTGAACTTCCTGTACAAGAGCATGTGCTCATCTAAGCTGGTTCCCGGCTCCCTTTGTGCGCACTAACGTTCGACAAAGCTAGGAGCCGGTTTAGGCTGCCATTTAAAACGCTCTGCTCGTTTGTTTGACGTCACATCAGAAAATATGAATTTGAAAAAGAAGTTTCCAGAAAATAAGAACTATTTATATTTTCAAAGGTCTTTCAAGCGCCTGCATGACCGATTTTTGAAAACGATACAAAATGTGTTTTGGACGTCTTCCGATGAAGGACAGCGCGGCCGTCTAAAAATACCACCCAATGGAAAATGACATAACATTGTCAATGTTGGCTTTTCGTAGGCCTTCTCGGCGATCGTCTCTTTGGCCTGTACCGGCTCGTATATTGCGATATGCGAGACGGGGCTCAGCTTAGTGCTCATCAGCACCAACCATTGTTCATCCTAATTAAAGCTTTCTAACTCGAAGCTTCACTTTGTAACTTCTTTGCAATAAGTATCTTGGAATTTGGCTACAGGAAAATCTGGATTTAATCTTTACAGCTATAGAGATAGCAAAATCGGCCAGTCGTGCCCTTGGAGTAATAGGAATGTATATCAAATTTAAGTCAGTAGGTGGTATGGCTAACAATGTTTATAATACTCTGTATAATAATTTAGTTCAGCGTATATTGACCTATGGCGCTGCCATATGGGGCACAAAGCAGTTTAGTCGCATTAACGCAGTGCAAAACCATGCCTGCAGATATTTCTTGGGAGTCGGTTGTAAAACACCTAATTTAGCAGTCAGAGGAGAGATGAGGTGGATCAGTCCCTTCTGTAAGCATAAAATGGAAATACATGTACTTAGGTTTTGGTGTAAACTGAATTGTATGGCGGACTCTAGATTGTCAAGTGTCAATATACAATGGTCTCGACAGTTTAACAGATCTTGGCTTAATTCTGTCTATGGCTTACTTTCTAAATTACAGCTTCCATGACATCTATAACACGACAGGGCTTGATGTTAAATGATCTTGTGAGTGGATTCAATCTCTTGACGAACAAGAATTGTATAGAGAATGATGGAACGATCGTGGACAGTTGAATGGAAATATACTACGAACGTACAGACATTTCAAAAGTTCTCTGGTGGCTGAACCGTATGTTACTCAGTTAATTCCCAGATCCCATCGCAGTGCTCTGGCTAAGCTGCGCTGTAGTTCTCTCCCCATAGAAGTTGAACGTTGCAGGTTCACTCGACCTAAGACACCGGTTATGGAAGTTCTGTGACTCCCACTCAGTAGGGATGAGATTCATTTTTGATCAGTTGCCCATTCTATTCAGATTTGCATTACATGGAGTTAAATCAGCTATAGACTCTCCTTTGTCGCTGTTGTCTGCCGTTTAGCAGACTGTGCAAACACACACAACATTTGTTAAACATCTTGCCGCTCTTGTCTACTGCATGTACAGGAGGAGACTAAATATCTCTTAGGACGGGGTTGGGGTGGGTGGGTGGGTGATGGTTGTGAGTGTGGGTTGGTGTGAGGATAGAAGGGTGGGTGTGTGGGTGTGTGGGGAGTTTGACGCATGCATGAATGTACTTATGTGTGCAAGAATTGTGATGTATGTGCAATCTACATTTTTATTTATCTTAAATGTTTCACAGTGATATATACATGTGTCTCATAGGCCAAAAGGTCGGATGCTATGTAAACGTTTTAATCGTGTCATTATGTACCGCATATTAGCATGTGACACAATAATAAAATATTTTTCTTCTTTTCTTCGAGGTCCATGGGGATTCGAACCAACGACCCCAGATTCCTGACAGGCGTCAAGCACGCAACCCTGCATGGTGACTTGCGGCACCCTAGACGAATGTGACATCCGGGCCCCTTGTGGGAAGAAGAGCAACGCCAGAACATTTACAAATGATCATAATAAATTTTATTGAAATCAAAACAAAGAACGTACAAAATCTACCTGACCATAACAATTGTATACCGGGTAGAAAAATCAGGTTTATAATTTTATGAAATGGTGTCGATCAACAAATATATCACCTTACATATTTACGTTCCTTAACTTTGTTTGCTCAGTATTAATTTTGTGGCCATTTTGCCAAAATGTTTACAAAACTGCGAATACGCATTTTCAAGATGTACAGGAATGTGCACCAACGCCTGAACATTTAGAAATAATCATAATTTTATTGAAATTATACAAAACTGCGAACACGCATTTTCAAGGCGTACGAGTATAATACCTTCAGGTATTGTTGTGTTTAGTTGATTTGACGAGCAATAATTAATATGTTTTGGACTTAAAAGTATACAAAAACCTGAACTAATAATCAATAATCATCCCAGGTGATTGTGGTTGATGCATGTCATCGTACAATAACGATGCTCACGATATCAATCACTTGCTTGTTAAATCCTAAACGATTAGCTGGAATTTCGAAATAGAATTTATTCCAAAGCAACCTATACTTATTGCAAGAACCGGGCGACTTAACATAACGGGTGGTTCGACTATGGTGTACTAACATTGATAGCCTGGGTACAATCTGCGAAGCCCATTTCCGGTGTCCCAGGCCGTAATATTGCTGCAATATTGCTAAAAGCGGCGTAAGACTAAACTCACTCACATTGATAGCATGGTAACCTACCGGCGTGAATCGATGCCGCAACATCGATCCCCGGATTGTCTGGTTCAGAAAAAGATCATTAAAAGGAGCGCCGTCGTATTGTCTAGAGCAATTAACACACACACAAACAAACAAACAAGACAGTACTATAAATACAGACAGACAGACATTTTAATTTCAGTCTCACCTCACATAAAATACATATATAAATATATTTATAAAATATAGCACATAAGGGAGCCACCCTTGCAAGGGTTATGAGAGACTAATGTATTAATACATTATAAATACTAAATAATAAATCATATAGGTACATACAGTGTATTCCAAAGCAACTAGAATTAGTAATGTCATAAACGCCGCACAAAATTGTACATACATATGACCCCCATCCCGTCTCAACATTAAACTGTGAACAATCAGAGAAACTAATGTTTGTTTTCGTTTTATGAACACAAAACGTATTCTACTAAAGGTTACGGAACAATAATCTTTTGATGGGAAGACGTTAGTGTTTGATTATTGTAAATATTTGCATTGTAAACATTATATTATGATTTAGGTACTGTCTCTCTTGACAGAATTCTCTTTATACGTGCCAGACACCTACAACCGGGGATTCGAATGCCGCTTCTACCAGGTTATGTCTGTAAACACCATATCCGTGCCCAGAAACGTCTTCACGCAGGGTACGGGGCAGAGGGGTAGCCTAGTGGTTAAAACGTTCGCTCGTCACGCCGAAGACTCGGGTTCGATTCCCCACATGGGTACAATGATTGAAGCCCATTTCGAGTGTCTCCCGCCGTGATATTTTGCTGGAACATGCTAAAAGCGGCGTAAAACCATACTTACTCACCCACGCAGGGGCACGCTTGGAACTTGATCGGACGCCGGCTTATGTTGTGACTTGTTGTCACTCTAGAACTGATTTGCCTGAGGGGCATATGATACCTTAGATGGTTTCCGGTGGTTTGGTCATAGCTGTAAAATTGTTAGACCTGCGTTATTCCGGTCTCTTTCCACATCAAGCTGGATCACCGTGACAGCTGAAATACTATTCAAAGCAGGGTTCAGCTATACCCTAACTTCTTTACGGGACTGTTGCTATAGTGATAAATAAATAAAGGAACGCGATAAGTGAAGCAAAGAGTAACATCTTTTACTGCTATACATAAAAAAGATACAAGACTGGGTATGATTGTTGGTTTGTACTAAAAACTTCAGTTTGAGTAACATGTTCAGTCAGTATTCTAACACCTGCATGTTTGGCGATAATACAATGTAAAAATGTATACTCCTAAGGGAGATGAGAATGACATTTGAGTACATACACATCCAAAAGACCTTGGTAATGATAATATTGCGCCGCGAGCATTCACTTGATGAATGGAATGACATACATTGAAATTGACAAATTATACAACTGACATTCAAGAGAAAGTACAACCTTGTTTTTTTAGGGTATTATTTAAAACAATTCTACGTTGTTTCGTATTTTTACAATAGTTCCAAAGAACTAGGCGTCATTCGCCTGATTAAGGAGCAAGAATTAGCTCTGAAACGTCGTGATAAAAAAGTAAAAATATAAAATCCACAAAACGTGTCATGTATTCATGTTCGTCCAACTCCTAAATGCCTATGAGATGCTACTTTCTGTTGTACGTCAGTCTATATAGCCATACTTTCGACATCATATTCAATATGAATTCTAAATGCTAAATTGCTGCCAAATGGGTTTCATCTCAGTCCTCTGAACCTTCATCGCCATCCTCGTCATCTTCTTCATCTTCATTCTCGTGACCAAAGTGTCCCTCCTCATCCTCATCCTCAAGTCCAATGATCACAACAACGTCTACATCGTCATCAATATCTACCTCTGCCATTGCTTCCTCCAATATCACAAAGTCATCGTCCTCCCCAAACCCGTCCACACCATCGACATCGACATCGTCCTCAGCTGCGTCAACGACATCTGTGCCAGATGCCACCCATCTGTCTGGTACTCGGGGAAAAACGGCACTACTGGTAACATGTTCCGTTCTCGATGCAGTTTGGGTGTTCTTTACATCAAGATTGTCAGTTCTTGAGGCATCCTCGTTCTTGTGAAGATTATCGGCTCCAGATGCCGCTTCGCGTTCCTTTGCATCCAGATTATCAGGTCGAGATTCAACTTGAAGCCCTTTCACTCTACCAGCATCTGGTCTCCTTCGACGCATACTTCTGGAGTGTCGGACAATTCGTACCTGCATCATGATGTTGATCAAACGTTAATGAGGTATACAAATTTATGGATGACAAGACCTTGCTTATTGCATTGACAACGTTTCGGTGTGGATTCGTACACGTTATCAAGCTTAAAGTGACTACAACCAAATGAGAGCTTTATATACATAGTATGTTATGACAAACAGCAGATTAACATGGTATGTTATGACAAACAGTAGATTAACATGGTATGTTATGACAAATAGCAGATTAACATGGTATGTTATGACAAACAGCAGATTAACCTGGTATGTTATGACAAACAGCAGATTAACATGGTATGTTATGACAAACAGTAGATTAACATGGTATGTTATGACAAATAGCAGATTAACATGGTATGTTATGACAAACAGCAGATTAACCTGGTATGTTATGACAAATAGCAGATTAACATGGTATGTTATGACAAAGAGCAGATTAACCTGGTATGTTATAACAAATAGCAGATTAACATGGTATGTTATGACAAACAGCAGATTAACCTGGTATGTTATGACAAACAGCAGATTAACATTAACAACAGCATGCAAATGAATAACAATTTGCACATAATTGGAAGAGGCCAGTTGGGGACTAAGAACAACGGAAAGAACAGGCGATGAACAGTGGGGGTGGGGGTGGGGGTGTGGTAGTAGTGAAAACAAGCTGACATGGTGCTTTGATAGAGTCTATAGATTGCCTACTTCATAGGCCTATTGTAACCTTGATCTCTGTTCATCCCTGTACATCAATGGTTTGTGGCGGCGGATTTCGCTGGCTTCCAAACGTTTTCCTTTTGTGAAGTCCTGATTCTTGGTGGACAGGATGTCGAGTTTGACAAACTTGATTTAATGGGTTGGGACTTTTTGTTGGTGTGCTTTTTGGATGGGGGGTGGATTTCATTCTAGGACGTGGACAACCTGAAATTTTGCATTCGCAGGACGTGGACAGACGGTGTGCCTTTGATGTACTGTGTTATTTTGTAACGGATTAACTAGTCGGGAGGTGTTAAAATGTAAACTGTGTTATCCGGAATTGATTCTCTGAAATTTTTCTACTATTCCATTATTAAAGATTCACCATGTTTTGAAAAGTATTTATTACTCAAAGATAACATTTATTAACCTGTAGTATATTTTAGAACAAGTAATCACAAACTGCCCATAGAAAAGGGTCGCTGGTCGAACATGCCGTATTTATTAAACTTGTAAAAACTCCCTACACCAAATTGTATGATTTATGATTATATATTAATTTTCAAATTACATGTTTAAAATACTGGTTCAAAAATTCTTCATGTGCACGAGCAACGTCTCCCAAAATAGATTAAAACATGCTTTGACATGTAGATAACGTGGGAAAATTACATGGGCATTGTATATAATGAATCTTATAGTTTCCAATGATTTTGGTTTTGTAGATGGTTATGTTAGTCAGTTGGAAGTGTAGGCATGTTTCTTAAGGAATTTAGAACTCGGTCTGTAAATATGTTTTACCAGGAATGACATCGACATTCCACTTTAGGAGATGGTTCAAGATTGCTTTCTTAGAGATACCTTCAAGACCTTACTCCAACCAGAAATTTATTTATCAATACTCACGCCGGAAAATTTGAGGTAACATTTTATTAAACATCGGCTTTGTTTTTTAGACCTTTTTGCATGTGATGAAATGAAACTTTCTATTGAAAACTCAAAACGAATCTGTCAGTTATGCGATACAGAAATAAAAAACATGAAATTTACTTTGTGTTCGTCTGTCCATTTCATAGTGTCCTTCGAATGATATATATTAAAGATTATTTGATTGGGATGCCATCGATGAAAGCTCTCGTATGTATCTTAACGACTAAGAACGAATCTCACATTAACTCTTTCACTGTATATTAAACATGCACGAGCCAAAAGACACGAACTGTTTAAGGAACGTGTAACTTCCTGTGAAAACATGCAGTCTGCAGAGAAACACCTCAAATATGGTAAATATTGTGAAGTTCAATTATATGGCAGGTGATGCCTGTCCAAGCCGTGCATTGTCTGGCCCTGACTCCGTTATTTCCAGGCTGTCATTGGGATGGAATATTGCCGAGCGCAGCACTAAAAAATAAACCCACCTTCTGATGATGTTCCTGACGTTTCTTCGCGCCTATTTCCGGTTTAGTGTATGGACTTTCCCTGGCCAAGTCTGCCTCTGATACTGAGGAATACAAAACACAAAGTTAAAGAATAGATCTTACCATCACTGTAGTGTTCACATATTTAAGCTTTTATTCCTCCAAAGGAGAGTGACCGCCTCCGTGGTGTAGTGGTTAGAGCGTCCGCCCGGAGAGCGGAAGGTCGCGGGTTTGATCCCCGACCGCGTCATACCAAAAGACGTTAAAATATGGTACTTGTTGGTCCCTGCCTGGCGCTCGGCATTAATGGGTACAACACGGACTGGTCGGCTCGGAGTCAGTATAATGTGTCTGAGTGGGGTATTCATGCTTCACTGCGGTATGGTATCTCAGTGAGCTAGCACTATAAAACCACCTTAAGTCTGGGCTAGTACATGCAGCCGCACATACACATACACACGCATGCACGTCGTCATATGAGCGAAATATTCTCAAGCACGACGTTAAACCCAATGTCACCTCACCTCACGAACGGAGAGTACAATGAGATGCATATACATAAAATTACATTATACATACATACATTTTTTTGTTGGTTATCATTATTATTGTCATTTTGTATTATTATTTTATTCATATTTTGTAAAAGAAAAAATGTTTTAACTGTCACACAGTTCCATCAGAGTTCCACACGTTTGTTGAAGGACGCAATGTGCGATATGATGGTTTTGGCATATTGCAATTCACGGTAGAAACGTTTTCACTTTGTTTGGAATAGTTTCCTTTCCTCATCGTCAATCATTTCAACTGTGATATCTGGTAACAGCGTCATTTAAAGAAAATGTCCAACTTGATTTGTTTGCTTCAACGCAGCATTATGAACGTGGGTTAGCTGGTATCGCCGATTCTCGATATAATATCAATCGTCAACACTCACCCCTTTCCGTAATCTGCAATTAGATAAGGTCAGCAGCACCTTTTACACCACATCTGAAGGTTGTTACACCTTTCAGTTGATGTTGGTAATGCACCCACAACGCTATCAGCCAAAGTCGATGCTCTATTGTTGTATGAAACCGTTCGCAGTCACTATAGTCCGTTTGGCTCAAAAGCGGACCGATGAATTACAATCTAACTCGAAAACTAATAAACATACAATACTCAATGAAACGCATAATCAAACATCAGACCAACTCTGTGAGTTTTTTGCAGAATTTATGTCCTAAAAATAAAAAAGTTGTTTAACAAACTATCATTAAAATATTGACAGAGGTCACTATTTGTTACGAGGGAGGAGTGCAAAGAAAGGGACAGCCAGGTGTGCGAGAAAGGATGGAGACGGCACAGCACAGGTTAATGAGCACAGGTTAGTGAATCAATAACGTTGTCGGTACGTGCTTCTCTAACGAGTAACCGAAGCTTCTCTGTATAGTTTTCGAGTTAGATTGCAATTCATCGGTCCGCTTTTGAGCCAAACGGACTATAATTGCCCATCCTTATCGGGATTGCACCCACGTGATCAAAACTCCATGTTAACCGCTAGCAAATGAACATTTCTTGATAAGCACACTTTGCAAAGAATTGTCATAAAGTAAGCTACAGTCCTTATCGGTTAGTTTAACTTCATAAGTATTATCATACATGCAGCTATCTTCCTTGCTAAGTACCATACATGTATATGGTGATTCGATTTTCCAATAGCGACATACGTAGAATTTCATAGGTGCGAAAAAAACAGGGAACCCAGCCATCGCCGGCAAAGCACAAATATTCGTTGAACTAAGCGACAGATAAAGTAACCAAATACGTAATATATAGGACCCAAACCTTTAAAGGTACTAGAATTTGTACCACTTTCTCAATGACATCGTGATTTTTTAATGGAATTTAGAGATAAAACACTTTTTTCATCCATAAGTTATCTCTGCTAAAATCAGACCCGATTGTACAACTGTGAGCATGTAATGAGTATATATTTGTTTGAACAGTACTACAGTTGTACGATGTTGTTTGCAAACAAACCGAGTTTGGACCAGACAATCCAGTGATTGTCGCCATGCGATACGATGACAGAGCATGCATTAAAGAAATCATGACCATAAAGGTAGCACTATACTCGTATCTTCTGAGCAAAAAAATAACAGCCACCGAAGCAAGGTACAACAAGCTAGATCCGTGTTCAAGAAAAATGCCATTCCTACCAGGTATGCCAGTCTTGAACCACGGATGGTTTAGAATATTGGGCCAGTTGAGTCGACTGTGTTGGTCACACACCAGCAGCCTCTGAAGCAGGTCCGTCAGCTTGCTGCTCATCTTCTTCGGGAGCTCTACATTACGATGCAGCTTACACAGAGCTTTCAAGCTCTTTGTTTCGAATAGTCGTTTACCAACAAATAGTTCGTATATAATGCACCCAAGAGCCCTGAAACGGAACAGGCAGGCCACTTCAGACATTTCTCCAAGAACAGTGTCGACACAGTTTCAGCTTTTATACCAGGTTTCCAGATTTTACCAAAACGTTAAGTGTTCCACCTGGTTCTTGTTTAGCAAAGAATTGGAAGTTACGGTCATCTTTAGGCCACTTTGTGAAAGCTGGCCATGGGTCACTTCGGGCATTCCTTTAACATCAAGGTGAAACAATGTAATGTAACTAAAATTCTATAATATAAAAATTAAAAAGGAATTTCCATAATCATAAGAAATTTCTTCTAAAAGCTTAGTCCATTTTTCGACTCTTTCTGTATCATGTGTGTGTGTGTGTGTGTGTTTGTGTGTGTGTGTTTGTAATTGACGATCAAATAATGATGATACTAGGTATTTGCAAACTGGCATTAAATGCTAGTCACTTAGTTTTCAAAGGTCGGTGAAAATAAACCACAAATTTAGGGAGAAATCCTTGTTTGATGGTTATTTTGTCTTTTTTTCAAGATTTCCTTTTCAGGTGACATAATTGTAAAAATAGCATCTTCAATCATTTTACTTTTTTACAATTGTATCTGATATACAGGTGTATTATACACCGTTTTCGGAAGCGTTGTTCAAAAGTGTCATGCTGTTTTTTATTTCTAGTTATATTTTATTCCATGTCACTTTCTCTCGTTTATATTCGTTTATGCAATCTATCCTCACGGCTAAGGCGGGTAAGGGTCAGTTGCCATAGTTACCAAATGTCCACTTTCTCTGTATAGTGGACAAATGCCTCATGACCAAACAGTTCCGGTGCCATGTAGATCAGCGTCCCCTGTTAATGAAAGTAATATATTCTAAAGAATGGTTCCCTTGACAAGCAGCTTCCTTTATGGTGACCTACCCATCGAAGAGTGGTTCCGGTAGAGTTTGACATGCGCATACTTTGTCATAGTCAGTTCACAAGTTCAACGAGGAGAGTGAGTGAGTGAGTGAGTGAGTGAGTTTAGTTTTACGCCGCACTCAACAATATTCCAGCTATATGGCGGTGGTCTGCAAATAATCGAGTCGGGACCAGACAATCCAGTGATCAACAGCATGAGCATCGATCTGCGCAATTGGGAACCGATGACATGTGTCAACCAGGCCAGCGAGCCTGACCACCCGATCCCGTTAGTCGCCTCTTACGACAAGCATAGTCGCCTTTTGTGGCAAGCACAACGAGGAGAGTTCTATGGATATACAACTTCATTAATATAATATGAGCGACGTTTCGGTGTAGCTACTAACACCGTTATCAAGCAAATGTTGTATATTCATAGAACTCTCCTCGTTGCTCACACCAACTTCTAAATGCCACTCAAACAAGTTCACAAGTACTCATGGTGAACGTGTTTGTAAATGTTTGCATCGATTCTTGATGGATATTGTGACCCTTTAACAGGACATCATTAACTGTAATTTTAGAAAACATATTGATGTGCGAATAGTTTACCTGGATAGTTCTGGCATAGTATTTTTCTTCCATCATTCGCGCGAATCCAAAGTCACAAATCTTAATTATGTTGCCCTGGGTTACGAGGATGTTCTGTGGTTTGAGGTCTCTGTGGAGCACCTTCTCGGAATGGAGGTAGTACAACCCAGAACAGATCTGGCACGAGATCTCGCGCACCTGAAACAACGAGGAGGGTGACGTATCACGTTGCCTTGTTTGGTTGTTGTTTGACGCCGCAGTCACCAATATTCCAGCTATATGGCGCTGGGCCCCGTTCCTCCAAGCGACCGAAGCGCTATGACTGTCGTAAGTCTATGTTAAAGTATAGGAGTTACGATCACCTTAGCACTACGACTGTCGTAAGTCTATGTTACAGGATGGGATCGATCCGGAGTTACGATCATCTTAGCACTACGACTGTCGTAAGTCTATGTTACAGTATGGAAGTTACGATCACCTTAGCACTACGACTGTCGTAAGTCTATGTTAAAGTATGGGAGTTACGATCACCTTAGCACTACGAGTGTCGTAAGTCTATGTTAAAGTATGGGAGTTACGATCACCTTAGCACTACGACTGTCGTAAGTCTATGTTACAATATGGGAGTTACGGTCACCTTAGCACTACGACTGTCGTAAGTCTGTGTTACAATATGGGAGTTACGGTCACCTTAGCACTACGACTGTCGTAAGTCTATGTTACAATATGGGAGTTACGGTCACCTTAGCACTACGACTGTCGTAAGTCTGTGTTACAATATGGGAGTTACGGTCACCTTAGCACTACGACTGTCGTAAGTCTATGTTACAATATTGGAGTTACGATCACCTTAGCACGACGACTGTCGTAAGTCTGTGTTAAAGTATGGGATTTACGATCACCTTAGCACTACGATCGCTTTGTGGAACGGGGCCCTGGTCTGTAAATGATTCAATTTGGACCAGACATACCAGTGACCAACATCATGATCATTGATCTTCGTAATTGTGATACATGTGTCGACTGATAAAGAGAATCTGACCACCCGATCCCGTTAGTCGCCTCTTACGAGTCACGGGTCACGGGTCACAGAAAACTAAATCTAACCCGGATCTTCACGGGTCTCTGCCGTATTAAACATCGCTATACATGAAATTCGTCTCTGGCACGCCGTATTCAGGATTATCTCCGTTATGTAGCAATGTGTTCTCTAGTATATGTGTGTGTCTGTATGGACGAGTCCGGTCTAATGTCGGTCTCATGTTTCTAGCCCACTCAGCTTAACATGAACACCTCACTCACACAGTACACTAATTCTGAACCGACTGGTAGTTGATTTACCGCTTTAATGCCGAGCGCAGGGCATATTTTAATAGTTTTAAGTACAACATGATCAGAGATCGAAGGACAGCCACTCTGCGAACATACGCTCATCCATGATACCACAGAGGTGAGGTGAGGTAAAATTGGGTTTAACGTCGTGCTGGAGAATAATTCGCTCATATGACGACGTGCATGCGTGTGTATGTGTATGTGCGGCTGCTTGTACTAGCCCAGACTGAAGCTGGTTTTATAGTGCTAGCTCACTGAGATACCATGCCGCAGTGAAGCACGAATACCCCACTCAGACACATTATACTGACTCCGAGCCGACCAGTGCTTGTTGTACCCATTAATGCCGAGCGCCAGGCAGGGACCAACAAGTACCATTTTTTAACGTCTTTTGGTATGACGCGGTCGGGGATCGAACCCGCGACCTTCCGCTCTCCGGGCGGACGCTCTAACCACTACACCACGGAGACGGTCTTGGTACCACAGAGGGGGTGGGTCAAAGGGGATATCATTTGTAGGCGATACCTAACTGTTCTGTCGCCTGAAGTCAGAGCTTGAAACCTACTGTTAAAACGTCTATTCATTACATTTTGTTAAGCCGAAAATTGTAATAACAGGCGTCCCATTAGCAAATATACCGTATGGTTTCATGCATGTCTTTTCAATTGTCAGAGCCCCCTTTTCGTCGAATACTCGATCAATCAAAGTTTGTGGTATATATTTGATAATATATTTATGTCGGTCTAATGGTTATACCTCGTTAACTAAAGGCCAGTTATCTCTTCCTCAATGAGTCAGTATTATAGTGGAATATTATCTTCACCTTAACCAGTGTATGAAATAATGCTCGTCCGACCGCCCGAGACAGGTTAGATGTCTGCCAGACGGTCTATTATTAAAGCTAGCCAGCCCGTCGGACAGGTGAAAAAAAAATTCAGATAACGTGTCCACTGGCACTGTCTATTTAGTGTTTAAGAAGGACTGGTTAAATCTCTTCTGGGCTGGTAAGGTTTTGAAGTTTCCAGACCAGATGTCTGGCTGGGTTTTTGGCTTATTTCATACACTGCCTTAACAATATTTCAGTGTATTGCTAATGTCTTTGACGTAATAGACGCAACTGCCAGTATCTTGTCTTCCTTGACAGTGTTTCAGTGTATTACTGATGTCTTTGACGTAATAGACGCAACTACCAGTACCTTGTCTTCCTTGACAGTGTTTCAGTGTATTACTGATGTCTTTGACGTAATAGACGCAACTACCAGTACCTTGTCTTCCTTGACAGTGTTTCAGTGTATTACTGATGTCTTTGACGTAATAGACGCAACTACCAGTACCTTATTACTGATGTCTTTGACGTAATATATGCAGCTACAACAGTGTTTCAGTGTATTACTGATGTCTTTGACGTAATAGACGCAACTACCAGTACCTTTTCTTCCTTGACAGTATTTCAGTGTATTACTGATGTCTTTGACGTAATAGACGCAACTACCAGTACCTTTTCTTCCTTGAACTTCCCCTTGGGCTCTGACCTCATAGCCTTGAACAATTCCTTGACAGCGTACTCGAACACAAGCACGATCTGCAAACATACATGCAAGAATGGTTAGATACATATACACATGACAGTCGAGACTGAAGCTCTTGACAAACTCTTTCTGACTGAAACATTTCACGGGTACAAGCATGTAAAACAGTCCATGAAGGCTTAGCCTGAAACAGCTCCGGAGAATTAACAAGAAAATGTTAAGGCCGGAACAGATCACGAGTAGGAAAGAAGGTCAAAGTCTAAGCTAAAAGACAAAGTGTTATACAGGAAAAGTAAGATCGAAAGAGTTCTGGGTTATTGCTATACAAGGCAGTTAAGACTGACACAGTTCAGTGTTTCTATTATACTGACTGACTGACTGAGTATGGTTTTACGCCTTTTTTTAGCAATATTCCAGATTTATCACAGCGGGGGACACCAGAAATGGGCTTCACAAATTGTACCCATGTCGGGAATCGAACCCGGGTCTTCGGCGTGACGAGCGAACTTCTATTATACCAAACTGTTTATACTATAGAGTTACTAGGTATTTAATGCACGAGTGTCAAGACGGAAACAATTCAGGAGTATTATAATACTTGAAGGTTATGACCGAAACAGTTTTCGAGTATTATCATACGGTAATGTTTAGAATGAAACAGTTTAGTGGTATTATCATACGATAATGTTGCGAATGAAACAGTTTACTAGTATTATCATACGGTAATGTTTAGAATGAAACAGTTTACGAGTATTATCATACGATAATGTTTAGAATGAAACAGTTTACTAGTATTATCATACGGTAATGTTTAGAGTGAAACAGTTTACGAGTATTATCATACGATAATGTTTAGAATGAAACAGTTTACTAGTATTATCATACGATAATGTTTAGAGTGAAACAGTTTACTACCATTAAAGCAGGTTCAGTGTTATCTCTCGAGTAAAATAGCAGACACTTAAGACTTAAACAGTTCACGAGTACTATTATACAAACAACGTTCAGACTGAAACAGTTAACGAGCATTATTTACAAAACGTTCAGACTGAAACAGTTCACGAGTATTATTTACAAAACGTTGAGACTGAAACAGTGCACGAGTATTATTTACAAAACGTTCAGACTGAAACAGTCCACGAGCATTATTTACAAAACGTTGAGACTGAAACAGTGCACGAGCATTATGTACAAAACGTTGAGACTGAAACAGTGCACGAGTTTTATTTACAAAACGGTCAGACTGAAACAGTGCACGAGCATTATTTACAAAACGTTCAGACTGAAACAGTTCACGAGTATTATTTACAAAACGTTGAGACTGAAACAGTGCACGAGTTTTATTTACAAAACGGTCAGACTGAAACAGTGCACGAGCATTATTTACAAAACGTTCAGACTGAAACAGTTCACGAGTATTATTTACAAAACGTTGAGACTGAAACAGTGCACGAGCATTATTTACAAAACGTTCAGACTGAAACAGTTCACGAACATTATTTACAAAACGTTGAGACTGAAACAGTGCACGAGTTTTATTTACAAAACGGTCAGACTGAAACAGTGCACGAGCATTATTTACAAAACGTTCAGACTGAAACAGTTCACGTGTATTATTTACAAAACGTTCAGACTGAAACAGTGCAGGAGTATTATTTACAAAACGTTCAGACTGAAACAGTTCACGAACATTATTTACAAAACGTTGAGACTGAAACAGTGCACGAGCATTATTTACAAAACGTTTCGACTGAAACAGTTCACGAGTATTATTTACAATAACGTTCAGACTAAAACAGTCCACGAGTATTATTTACAAAACGTTGAGACTGAAACAGTTCACGAGTATTATTTACAAAACGTTCAGACTAAAACAGTCCACGAGTATTATTTACAAAACGTTGAGACTGAAACAGTCCACGAGTATTATTTACAAAACGTTCAGACTGAAACTGTTCACGAGTATTATTTACAAAACGTTCAGACAGACTATGTTATGACAGTAGATTACCGATTTAACTGTTTATATATTTTCATTTGACTATTTCACCACACGTTCTTCTTACCGAGTCAGTTTCTCAGTTCGATGCTTAAAAGCAACGTCATTATTTAGCATTGTCAGAATGTCTAACTTTGATATAGATATGCCTCTGTCACAGACAAAACTCAAAGTCTGTTTTATTGACACCTATATGTCTGCCTGCCTGTCTGCTAGTGACAATATGTAATACACAACATCGATCACTGACCACGTGCAATTTGAACTTAACACCTATCAGGCTATACACCACAAACAATATTGATTTATGACTCGTGTCTCTGTCACATTGTGTAATGACACAGACAGGCAGGTGTGATTCTTGTACACATGACATGTTATGATGTCTGTTGATTGCAAAATGTTATACACAAAAAATGAGCCTGTATTTACAAAATCCAACATCTCTATACACAGACAAATGGCCCTGAATGTATCGGCAAATGAACCAGCCAATAAAAGCCTTCGTTACACTTTAAAAGTGCACACCCACCCGCTCTGACTGGGTTCGGTATCCCGGGTGCTTCGTTTCGAGGGAAATATACCAAAGTACAAAATATTGCACTTTTGATTTGCGATTGTACGCTTATAATTTTGTTTATTTGATTTTTCATAATCAGCAATGTATATTATATGTTATGAAAAAGTGATAATTGTGTTTTAATTATGTTTTTTTTGTTGCATGTGACCTTTAAGGATGGTGGGTCATTGGAGCCCATTGGTTCTGAACCTACATGTTTGTCTGTCTCGAAGCTGTCCAGCATCTGTACAATGTGGGATGCCTCAGTCGCTTGAGGATGTGAATCTCGTTCCGAGCATCCTTGATGTGTTTCTCTGTAACATTCTTGGGGATGTACTTGAGGGCGCACACCTGAAAAGACGGAACAGTTATCAACCTGGGCCTTTCCAGATTTCGAAGCTCTCTTAGTGCTATGACAGTCGTAACTTAGTGTTAATGAATGACACTTACGACTATCTTAATTAGCGCTGAGAGAGCTTCGAAAATCTAGGCCCTGACACTCCCGACATACGGAACAAAATTGAAATAATGAGTGAAGTTTGAGTTCAATGTTTCAACAGCGATTTTACCAACGCAGATGGCCCCGAATACACACACGAACTTTCACCTCTAGTCTGTCTCTCAGTCCCTGAACCGCATTATTTTCCATACTGCCCAGCCCGCCGTGAAATGCTACAGCCCTAAATGAAGCAAGTCTAGATTCCCTCGGGTTCTGAATCTCCCATCTCGCTGGGCCTCCTTTTCAGTGTACATGGGATTATTTATTACTATCAAAATTATATATATTCAGAGATTAAGCGTTAGTCTATTTCAGCTCGTAAACTCATTGCACCTCTTTATCATAACGAATGTATCATTACCAGCCAATCTGAGTCGTCTAGTGGAAAGCATGTTTGCCGGGGTGCGGAAGGTCTGTGGTTCGCTCCCCGACCCCCCGAAGTTGTACTTCTTGTTACCTGGTATACCTCAACTTCGTTTTGATGGCACCCGTGAAGAGCCGGGTTAGAATTGATCAGTAACTATGCTTGTCATAAGAGGCGACTAACGGGATCGGGTGGTCAGGCTCGCTGACTTGGTTGACACATGTCATCGTATCCCAGTTGTGTAGATCGATGCTCATGATGTTGATAACTGGATTGTCTGGTCCAGACTCGAGAGTATTTACATATAGCTGGAATATTGCTGAGTGTGGCATAAAACTAAACTCACTCACTCGTTTAGATGGTATCAGGGGGTATCCATGTCAAACTTCAGCATGGTATATTTCAGTGAGTCAGCACATTAAAACCGGTTCAAGCCTATAGTCCGTTTGGCCTAAACGCGGACCGATGAATTGCAATCTAACTCGAAACTACTAAACATATAATACTCAATGAAACGCTGATCATAATCAAAACATCAGACCAACTCTGTGATTTGCTTGCAGAATTTATGTTCTAAAATTTAAAAGGTTTTTTAGCAAACTATCATTAAAATTTTGACACAGTTCACCATTTTTTGCGAGGGAGGAGTGCAGACAAAGGGACAGCCAGGTGTTAGAGAAGCACGTACACAAGTGCCGACAACGTTATTGATTCATTAACCTGTGCTGTGCCGTCTCCATCCTTTCTCGCACACCTGGCTGTCCCTTTCTCTGCACTCGTCCCTCGTGAATTGTGATTTTAATGATAGTTTGTTAAACAACTTTTTTATTTTTAGGGCATAAAGTCTGCAAAAACCTCACAGAGTTGGTCTGAGGTTTTGATTATGATCAGTGTTTCATTGAGTATTTTATGTTTATTAGTTTTCGAGTTAGATTGCAATTCATCGGTCCGCTTTTGAGCCAAACGGACTATAACCACGAGGACGTGAACAAGCATGCACGTTGCCATTAAGTGCAATAACCTGGAATGCGACCATACACCCCATTGAAATCCCATTTGACCCCGACCCGTGAAGATCCGGGTTAGAATCAGTAACCCATGCTTGTCATAAGAGGCGACTAACGGGATCGGGTGGTCAGGCTCGCTGACTTGGTTGACACGTGTCATCGTATCCCATTTGCGTAGATCGATGCTCATGCTGTTGGTGACTGGATTGCCTGGTCCAGACTCAACTATTTACAGACAGAGGCCATATAGCTGGACTATTGCTGAGTGTGGCGTAAAAGTAAACTCACTCACTCACCCATTTGAATCCGCCTCCCATTCCATTATTGTACAACGATACGATATATACAACCTGTCTAGGTGAAATATTTGTGGCAATAAGACCTGTCTCGTAATAGCCATGTCACTCTCAGTTTTGTTACCCTGAAATGGCAATTTGACGTCGACCGTGACGTCATGATATCCCGACAACGGCAACTCACCAATGATACAGCTTGGTTCGTCACGAAAAGGAAAATAATATTTATACCACATTTTGTTAATTCCAGCTTTATCGACGTTATGGAAAAAAACTACGTCGTCCTTGACCTCTGATGCCTCCGAGTCATTTATGGGAACATGATCGACAGTCGTCTAAGATACCGGAAGTCGCGTTGCAGATTTCAATCCTTTAGATTTCGTGCCAAAACTGAACCCGAGGGCTTAACATGCGGATCGATGCTCATGATATCAATCACTAGGTTCTCTCGTCCAGACTCTATAATTTACAGACCTTCGTCACATAGCTTGAGTGAGTGAATTTAGTTTTACGCCGCTTTTAGCAATGTTCCAGCAACATCACGGCGGGGAACACCAGAAATGGGCTTCACACATTGCACCAATGTGGGGAATCGAACCCGTGTCTTCGGCGTGACGAGCAAACGCCGTAACCACTAGGCTACCCCACCACCTAACATAGCTGCAATATTGCTGAGAGTGACGTAGAACAACGTACAAACACACATGCGTCATTCCTGATGAAGGTGACACGTCGGGGAATTAATCAAATACAGTTAAGAGCGGCGTAAAACTAAACTCACTCATTCACTATCCACTGAGTCTAGGGATTGTTTCGACAAATACCTTGTCTTTGTTGTCCCGTTTCCTGCCCTTGTACACAACTCCATATGACCCCCCGCCGATCTTCTTCAGCAGCTCGTATTTGTCGTCAGACATCGTCACACCTGAAACACGGAACAGTTGTTCACCACGCCCCTTGGTCGTCATGACAACTTCAGGTAAAACTCTGTAATTTACAAGCACATTTACTACAAACATGTAGACCTACACCCAATCCGGCATAAGAATATACGTACCTGTTGAATGAGCACAACGCGTCAGTGTACTAAACACATAACCAGTCTTGCTCAGCCTGTTGTACAAACCAGTATATACAACTACGCTCTGATAATTACGTCCTTCACCTTGAATGTCAGAGGTCATACTATATTCATGGCTGATTCAATTATGCTGTGACGACATGTACGGGCAATACATACTAGGTCTCGCTCACATTGGATACGACAACTCTGGACTAAAAATGTCAGCGTGACACAACAGCGTTATAAAAGAACTCCAAACGATTGTGAATGACCTAGCCTCGCAATATCTCTCGACTCCGTACAACAGTGACCGACATTTTAGCGTGGGGCAAAAGCACGTGAGTCCCTGCCTTCGCTATCTTATCAAACCTTATCTTCTCCCTCGAGACAGGCCAATTACAATTACCAAGTTAATATTTATAATGACATCATACACCCTTTATCTTGTCATTACGTGAAGCTGTCAACTTGTTCATCAAACTGTCAGTTACTATATTTACCCCTCGTGATCAGTTATTAATGATGTAATAACTGATATTATCTTATTACGACAATCATATAATAACTTAGATTAATCAGTACTGTATCGTTTATGGCATAGCAATCACTGTCAACGTTCACAGTTTTTACGACATAATTTACAAAGATGATATATCATTGTTGACAACACGAGTGGTTCAGGCTCCTCACATGGTTATATAGGCAGCGGTTATAATCGATCTAGCATAGATATGAACATGTACTAAACCGAGCTTTTACAGCTTCGCTTACCTGTTTGTTGCGTAGCTCTGTCCTAACTCAGGGACAGAGTTTTGCCATCAACTACCTGTACAGGTAAATCCTGTGTGGTCGCACTCAGGTGAGTCACGGCCGCGCCCGGGTGTGTTTACTGGGTTACGTGAGCTTTTCAAACTCCTGGGGAATTCCTCTCACTGGTTCGCGCGTCGTTTTCGTAAGGACTGACACGAGGTATTTGTAAAGGTTATGTTCGGCGGTTCAGATCGGTTCGCTCAGTGGGGTTGAGGTGTCGTGTTATTTTGATGAGATTTTTAAATGGTGAATATTTTGTTGATGTATGTGTCTGGGGATTGAAATAACTTGTGTCGCCGGAATTAACCAGGTGTATAGTTACAGCACCGAAAGCAGGTATCTGACCGTAACAGGAAACAGAAACCGATTACGCCATGCATAACATGGATGCTACGCATTTCATGCCGTGAAATTAACAACAAATGAGTAAGTGAGTGAGTTTTACGCCGCTTTTAGCAATATGCCAGCGATATCACGGCGGCCCAAATGACACAGACTGACAAACGTAAGATGTCTGAAAAGGGACGGTAAGGGGATGTATTATTACCGCCATTACCACCTCCCCCAACCACTTCGTGGCGGTGGGGTGGGTAGCTTCGTGGTTAAAGCGTTCGCTCGTCAAGCCAATGACCCGTGTTCGATTCCGCACGTGGACCCCGTACAATGTGTGAAGCCCATTTCTGGTGTTCCCCGCCGTGATATTACTTGTATATTGCTAAAAGCGGAGTAAATCTAAACTCACTCGCTCACTGCCCCTCCCTTTCCAAAATACACATAGGCTCTTCAAAACCGTCAAAAGACCAGGCTCACAGACCTACCCACACAGATATAAACACCCACATCCCGACACAGACGCACACGCTTGCGCGTATATATTGGAATATTGCTAAAAGCGGCGTAAAACCAAACTCAGTCAGTCAGTCAGTCAATACTTCATTTCCAGTCAGATATAGATAATATTATGCCGTATATATACATTCAGCTGTTGTTTCCTGCACGTGTCATCAAGGACAGTTAACACGTATGTAACACAATCCATGTCCTGCCACTCCGCCACATACACAATCAATACAGCTGGTGGCTGTAGCTGGTCTACATCATAGTTCATCAGGTATAAAGGTAATGCTCTGAAGTGTGAGACCCGTGAAGATCCGGATCAGAATTGATCTTCAGCAACCCATGCTTGTCGTAAGAGGTGACTAACGGGATCGGATGGCCAGACTCGCTGACTTGGTTGACACATGTCATTGTATCCCGATTGCGTAGATCGATGCTCATGCTGTTGATCACTGGACTGTCTGGTCAAGATCCGATTTTTTACAGACCGCCGCCATATATATATTCAAACAAACATACACACAGCGACTCATATACGCGCACGCGGAAATGACCTACCCGTCCTTGAGTTTAAGCTTGATAATGATATTATGGCGTATATTCACACAGCTGTTGTTCCCGTCATGTGTTATCAAGGACATTTTACACATATGTAACACAATCCATGTACTGGTTCATACATAATAAATACAGCTGGTTGCAGTAGCTGTCTACATCATAGTTCATCAAGTAGACAACGCTTTGAAGTGTGAGGCAAATGATGAACCGTGTAGCCTCCGTTACAGCCAAAACAGATGGTTGCAATCGCTGTTATACGTCATGGGGTGGCGGGGTAGCCTAGTGGTTTAAGTGTTCGCTCATCACGCTAAAGACTCTGGTTCGATTCCCCACACGGGTACAATATGTGGAGCCCATTTCTAGTGTCCCCAGCCGTGATATTGCTGGAATATTGCTTAAAGCGGCGTAAACTGAACTCACTCACTGTTGTACATTATAGTTCATCACACCCGTGAAGGTCCGGGTTAGAATGAACCTTCAGCAACCCATGCTTGTCGTAAGAGGCGACTAACGGGATCGAGTGGTCAGGCTCGCTGACTTGGTTGACGTATGTCATTGTATCCCGATTGCGCAGATCGATGCTTATTCTGTTGATCACTGGATTGTCTGGTCCAGACTCGATTATTTACTGACCACCGCCATATAGCTGGAATATTGCTGAGTGCGGCGTAAAACTAAACTCACTCCCTCACTCACAGTTCATCAGGTGTACAACGCTACAAGGTGTGAGGCAAGTGATGAACCTTCCAGCCCCCGGGTACAATCGGTCGATTACTGTAACTTATAGATCGATCCCTCAGTGTTCTCTAATGATCCTTGACCTGGTCGTGACCTCCACATGCTATTTTTGTTCACGCTTACCTGGATAGAGCAGATAAAAGAATGCCGACAGAGTATACGTATGTGTAGGTGTACTTACATTGTAACTCAAGATAGAAACACACTGATTTTATACTTTCATTTTTTATACTACAAATGGGAGAGCAAATGCCATGTCTAGTGTCCGTTGCCGTGATATTGCTGAAATATTGCTGAAACGGGTGTAGAACTAAACACACTATTCATAATAAACATTATTACGTTATTTATTCATTTATTCATTCATTCATTCATTTATTTAGTGGGTTATGATTTGTGAATCTCAGATATCTTATCTCGCTTGACTCCAATCTTGTCCTGAACAAGGTAGTTTTCGAATAAAAATGATTCTATTTTCCTCCAATTTTGAGCAAACCCAAAATATGACATACAAATTTACTCCTCATAAACGAAACAAAGATTTTTTTATACATTTGTCATACTGTAAATATATTACATATATATTTTTTCCATTTTCATCCTCGGCTAAAGATTTTCAAGAAACCTGAAACCAATAATTATGAAAACGTTAAGGACGGTTGTTTGCACATGCATTCGGGTTCATTTACGCTACTTTTGTGACTATACTGGTGCTTATAAACACAGAAGAAATACGCTGAATCACAATTTAACGTGTATGCTAATGTACGTTTCCCCGTACAGTCACTCTGTTGTCCATGTCAGCGTCAAGAATAATCCCCAAAGTCCTGGCGTGGCAGCGACTCAATATTTCACGAATACCTTAAACAGTGTGGTTATAAAGCTACCGGGTACAGTATTGTACATAGGCCCAAGCAGATTCAAAGGAGGACTCTGTGTTCTATTGAAACGGTAAGTCATAAACATGCTGTTCACTTCAAAGGGACTGTCACAGTTACTTCACGAAACACGTATAAGTGAGTGAATTTTGTTTTACGCCGCTTTTTAGTATGTCCCAGTAATATTACGGCGGGGGCACCATAAATGGCCTTCACACGTTGTACCCATTTCGGGAATCGAACCCGGGTCTTTGGCATGGCGAGCGAACACTTTAACCACTAGGCTACCCCCTCGCCTCAAAATGTATATACTCATGGAAACGAATAAGGGAGCACAGGGAAGTACAAGTGTTCCTTTATTCTTTACCAGGTTTCTTCACAAGGTATATATTGCAATGTGAGAGAAATCCTGGAAATAAATAAAGGAACACTTGTACTTTCATGTGTTCGCTTATTTATTTCCTTGAGTATATTCAGGGGTGAAAATAACCCATTGCCCGACGCCCGAGTCCAGTGCTTTTTTCTGTCAGGCAAGCAAATTTGTATATCACACTGTACCGGTGTCCAGTTGACTTTCCAATGTTAATAATGTTGTTTATTTTAAAAAATAACAAGAAAACGGCCGGTATAGTGGAGAAATGATCAGAGCAAGTGATTTTACATGTGCCACTGTACCGGAGTACACTAACAATTTTAAAGTTATTTCCACCCCTGTTATATATAAGCAATCTTCCAAATACCATGGTCCCTTTTCACAAAGTAAGTACAGTGACATTTATAAGAAACTGTCGTGTATGATAATGATAATAAATGGCGACCGTGTTGTTAATTATCTACCGTAGAACTTAGAGTACGTGTGTAAAAGCACTTATATTCCCCACCTTACACGACAAGCGTCACTAATACCTTTCAGGTGTTGATAATATAGCTAATCGCTGTTTTACACTTCTTTAAGTCTGTGATCGGTTATGGATAAGAACTTATCCAGTTCACATGGACCCCATTATAGAGTTAGCTGGAGCCGTAAATAGTGAGTAGCTGAATTCAAGCGAAGCTCAATAGGTAAATAAAAACGATTGTCGCAGTGCGTTGTAGATATTTATACTCCATACGAATTGCTTTTTCATGTCATGTAATAGATATAAATAGAATTCTTACTAATATTTTCTTTTTTGAGTTAGATCAAATTGTTATCGCAAGTATACAGCATGTTTAAGGTTAATGTGGATATAGGGTTTGACTGAACTGCTTGACTGAGACGAATAGTTCATATGCTGAGTGAGTGAGTGACTATGGTTTTACGCCGCTTTTACCAATATTCCAGCAATATCGCGACGGGGGACACCAGAATTGGGCTTCACACATTGCACCCATGTGGGGAATCGAACCCGGGTCTTCAGCATGTCGGGCGAACGCTTTAACCATTGGGCTACCCCACCGCCCCTCATATGTCGAGAGTGACTTGGATCTTGTTTTACTTTACTTTTGCGTTTTATAATGGAAAGTAATACATATTGTTGCTGTTCTTAGATAGAAATTATAGCAGAGTAAAATATATACTGTATGTATTCCTTTTGTATACATTCCATGTCAACTTCCTTTTACAATTGCGTGTATTGATAAATAATAAATAATATATGTTATGTAATATATTAAGTCATATTACTATACAGCAGATGTATGCTCTATTCTATAATGACCTGTGTGAGTATGAGTGAGTGAGTGAGTATGGTTCCACGCCGCAACATTCCAGCAATATCACGTCCGGAAACACCAGGAATGGGCTTCACACAACGTACCCAAGTGGGGAATCGACTCGACTATTTACGGTTATATACAGGTCGCCGCCTCATTGTAGAATTGTTCCTGGTCGGTTTCAAGAACAAAGAAAGTACATAAGATGAATTAATTCAAAGCATAGTCATCTACATATGAGAAATACTGACTTGCAGAAACCAAACTCGCAGATATGTTAGATATTTTACAAGGGTGAGGATGGACTAATGGCGTTTGCGATGGCGTTGAACACTTTGGCGGAACCCACGGGCACTGATACACATGGGAACATGTTCTGTTCGAACCCACAATTACTGGTGTCTGTACAAAGAATAGCAAGGGCGACCCTTGTACCCCATTGCCCAAATTGAGATCAGATTACCCGTGAAGATCCGGGTTAGAATTGATCTTCAGTACTGGTCCATGCTTGTCGTAAGAGGCGATTAACGGTATGGGATGGTCAGGCTCGCTGACCTGGTTGACACATGTCATCGTATCCCAATTTGCGTAATCGATGCTCATACTGTTGATCACTAGATTTTTCGATCCAGTATCGATTATTTACAGACCACCGCCATATTGCTGGAATATTGCTGAGTGCGGCGTTAAACAACAAACAAAACAAAACAAAAGTACATCATAGTTACACTCCAAAGGAAACATGAAAGGGATGATGTTATGTTTTTCTCATTGGATCATGTCTCTCCAGGAAGACCCAGCCAACATGCAGGACGAGCGATACGAGGCGCTGGAGCTGATCGGCAGTGGCGCCTATGGTGATGTGTACAAGGGGAGGAAGAGAGGCGGATCAGGGGAGGTAATATCTTAGTGAAAGTTCAACATTGCTTTCACGCTTATTACACTAATATAACGACGTGCATGCGAATGTGTGTGTATGTGCGAGCCTGTCTGTCTGCCTGTGTGTGTCAGTTTGTGTTTGTATGTATGTGTGCGTATGTCTGCCTGGGTCTCCCTCTGTGTGTACGTACACATAATATAGTATGACCAGAAAATATTGAGAATTTTAGGAATATGTTTAATTGGATTTCTAGTATAAACAACCTTGACCAGCTATCAAGTGCTTGGTTTCATTCAAGAGAGACAACTTCGTTAATCCTTTTCATTAGTTTCTGAAGAGTTATCCCCTTTGTTTACTTGCTAGCAGACGACATTTTCAGAGATCCTCAGTATGGATGATTTAGAGAGAGGAAGTTGATTTTAGAGTATTATAACAAGGACATCAGATCAGTAAAAGTGATTTCAAGCAGAACAGGCATCTCTTTGTCCACTGTTTATCGTGTTTTGAAAAAATATTGCAAATGGATATGGCATTGAGCACCTAAATTCTAACTGGGACAATGTGATTTTCTCAGATGAAAGTTCTGTGTGGCTGTTTCCTAATACACTGAAATTCTGGACCAAACAAACTGAAAATTTTTGTATCAGCGCCCATGGTACAGTCCGAAATCTAACGTGTGGGGTGGCATATCTGTGTTAGGGCAACGCCCCTCTGTGTATTTGAAGAGAATATGAACAGTGAGCGGTACACAGATATTCTCGAGGGACATTTACTTCCATCTGCTCACGCGTTGTATAGAATTTTTGCATTTTCTAGCAGGACAACGACCCAAAACATCGTTCAAAGCATTTACAGGCCTGGTTTCCGGAGCCAAAATATGACATTATTAGATTGGCCAAGCTATAGCCCTGACCTAAATCCAATAGAAAATTTTGGGGACTTATGAAAGAAAGTGTCAATAAGAAAAATCTGACAAATATTGCTGAAATGAAAGAAGAGGTAATCCGATATTGGGACATCATGGACCACGACTTTCTTACTTCTTTGATCAGTAGTATGCCTCGCCGCATTGAAGCCTGCATTGTTGCCCATGGTGACAAAATACTAACTGTTCACCTGTCTTTGAATCTGGACTTATGTTCTTCTAATATTCACATTTAATACGTGAGTAATGAGTTAAAATCTTTTTACGATCTTTGAATTCTCAATAATTTCTGGTTGTACTGTACCTCAGGTACTGTGACTAGCCTAGAGAAGTGTCTGTTTTTAGGCGCTAGCCAAATGAGATACCGTCCGCTAGTTTTACTTTGTTACATCGCCGACATGGTATACATGTACTTTATTCGAGTCAACCCGTCTTTGTTCCGTTACATTATTCGAGAGTCAACCAGTCTTTGTTCTATTACATTAATGACGATCGCCAGGCAGGGTAACAATAAGTATCATATTTGTACGTGTTTCTGCATCGTACGGTATCGAACCAACGACTTTCCGGCTAGACGCTTTATCCTCTAAGCCAACCTGTAAACAACAAATAGATTTATTTGTTTGTTTATCTGCTGTTTAACGCCGCTCTCAGCAATACTACAGCTATATGAACACAGTCTGTAAATAATCGAGTCTGGGTCAGACAACCCAGTGATTAACATCATGAGCATAGATCTACGCTATAGGGATCGATGACATGTGTCAACCAAGTCAGCGAGCCTGATCACCCGATCGCATTAGTCGCCTCTTACGACAAGTACGGGTTACTGAAGATCAATTCTAACCCTGATCTTCACGGGTAAACTCTGTGTGTTACAGATCTGCGCTCTCAAGTACATCTCCTCCTTCAGGACCAAGAAGGAGATGAATGATGTGAGGAATGAGATCCTCATCATGAAGAAGGTGAACCACCCCAACATCATCAAGCTGCTCGACTCCTACGACATTCCGGGATACGTACGTAGAGCCGTTTTGTCCACATACGCCATATTGTTCACATTTACACGCCATGTTGTCCTCATACGCCATATTGTCCACATTTACACGCCATGTTTGTCCACATACGCCATATTGTCCACATTTACACGCCATATTGTCCACATTTACAAGCCATATTGTCCACATTTACACGCCATATTGTCCACATTTACACGCCATATTGTCCACATTTACACGCCATGTTGTCCTCTATACACCATGTTGCTCGTAAATGAAAGCCTTGTTTCCCAATTATTGAAGCTGTGTCATCCTGAAATACATGCCAGAAATGCAAAAGCAAATCACAATCTACAGTTACAGGCAAATTCCACAAATACACCACACATTATCAAAACATTTAACATAGGTTCACGCCATGTTGTCCACAAATGCATGTCATGTAGTCCATTTTATGTAGGTCACGTTGTCGATAAATTCACCCCATACTGTCGACAAATGCACGCCATACTGTCATACACACGCCATACACACAGACCGAAATGATACGAACATCATTTGAAACGAAAACATGCAACCAGAATTTATTTTCAAAACGCACTGCTGTTACTGGCAGTAATTCTAGCGACGTAAGTGAAGTATTTTACTGCCGCTTTCGATGTAGCATCATTTATACCTTGTGCGTCACCCGGATGTTGAACTCCGTCAGTGATGAACTCAAGGATGGGATACGGGAGAGGGGGAATTCACCAATGGATACATTCCGGTTACAATTCATACTAAAGCGACCACTAGAATTACATATTAATTATTCTGTATATAAAGAGTGAGTGACGTGAGGTGAAATTGGGTGTAACGTCGTGCTTGAGAATATTTCGCTCATATGACGACGTGCATGTGTGTGTATGTGTACGTGCGGCTGCTTGTTCTAGCACAGACTGAAGCTGGTTTTATAGTGCTAGCCCACTGAGATGCCATGCCGCAGTGAAGCATGAATACCCCACTCAGACACATTATACTGACTCCGAGCCGAACAGTCCTTGTTGTACCCATTAATGCCCAGCGCCAGACAGGGGCCAACAAGTACCATATTTTAACGTCTTTTGGTATGACGCGGTCGGGGCTCGAACCCGCGACCTTCCGCTCTCCGTGCGGACGCTCTAACCACTACACCACGGAGGCGGTCTAAAGAGTGAGTAAGTTGAGTGAGTTCAGTTTTACGCCGCTTTTAGCACTATTCCAGCAATATCACGGTAGTTGTAGGAAGTAATCCGTTCAGCACATACAATAGCATTCCTAAGAGAACAAAAGCATTCCTGACGAATACAATAGCATTCCAGACGAATACAATAGACATTCCAGAGAAGTAATCCTCAAAAATCCTCATTCGAATGAGGATTCATCCTTATATAACAAACATTCCAGAGGAATGAGTCAAACTATTTAACGATATCATTCCACAAGTTCCTCCAACGAATACAATAGCATTCCACAAGTGCACCTTTTAACGTCCTTAAAACTATGCAAACTATTTAACCTTGGCATTCCACAAAGTGCTCTTTAACGCAAAGTATGCAAACTATTTAACGATAGCATTTGAAAAACTTGAAATGCTCGCTGAAGCATATACGCAGAGAATCAATGTTCCCGTACGCTCTCGAAATTGATCGCCAAAACGCAGAAACAGGCGAAGTAACGCGTTCGGTTTTACCTCATAACGCCTTAGCAGTTGCGTTCGAGCGAATGCTTTTACGGTTCATGGTCTATGAAATGGAATTGTAATGCATCAATAACATCGCATCATAGTAAAGTACAACACCTTTAAGTGTGATGACACATTTTGTCCACCCATGTAACACTTGTTACTCAATGGAACACAATAAATGAATGAAACTTACCTAAAGTTGAACATAACAGGGTTTGCATATGCACTGCGTTATCGTCTCTTTAGACAGCTCATGTTCATTTTTTCAAAAATGGTAGCGTTAACACCTGTAGTTCCACCATACACTTGATATTTAAACACTGTCTCTTCCTAGTTGTTTCCTTAAATATTTCCAGATTGTCCTCTCCTCTCTTCCTCTTCACTATCTTCTCTCTCTTTCTCCTTTGCTTAATTGTTTTCTCTTCCATTGTCTTCTGTTCTTTCTTAATTGCTTTCCTCTCTGTCTTATCTCTTTCAGTCTTTTCAGTTTCTGTTCTCTCTTGAACTTTTCACAATAGGATTTTAATTATCGGTTGATTTTCTAGTATCTCTATTTGACGATCCTACAAAGTAGGAGTCTGTTTTATAATTATGTTTTCACTTACTTTCATCAATCCTAACACGTTCAAAAAATTCTTCCATGTCAGAAGTAGTAACTCTTTCAAAGATGGATGTCGACATATGAGCGAAATATTCTCAAGCACAACGTTAAACCCAATTTCACCACACCTCTTTCAAAGATGCATAGAAATAGTCTACACACACACACACACACATCACCTCTCACCGAGTATGTATTGAAATAGTGTTCTATTGAAAAATATCACGACTCACAGTCCGCCTTTACTTTTTGAATGGAGTTTACGGGTAGGGATTTATTTGCACTAAAACGCGTCATAGATGAATAAATCGCGTTCACTGACGTACCTATCACCAAGGTTTTGATATCAGTCATGTGAATGTTCATAACTTCTTAAAACATGCGTACATTATATTAATAACTCGGACATAACGATCTTTTCAGTATTTTCTATGTCTTGCAATCCCTTTGGATATACACCCGTCACGACTTGTAGTTTTGTAGAAATATATGTCACGATTCTCATTTTCAAAGCTGCGACTGTCCTGTATATAATAAGTGAAAAAAAATCATATTGGTCAAACGCTATCGCTTATCTATTGATTTCACCTTCTGCTTTTGGACACGATTTCGATATAGTTAACGGAAACGATAAAATATCGTTTTGTTCTAGACATATCTCATTCGAAAATTTGAAACATAGCTTTGATTTCATTTTTTCAAAACTTGTAACACACCAACCTAATTATTCTTTTTCCGTGTATGAGTCAATTCAATTTGCGCTTTCAGAATTGTTGTGTGACCATAACGGTGAATTTATTAACTTGGAAATTTCCGACGAAAATTTTACAAGATTTTGTCTCACAAAACAAATTTAAAGAAATTTACTTAGGTCTTCTTTGAATTTCAAGTTTACCAAACCACTCAACGGATCCTGAATGCATAGAGGTAAGTGAATGTTATCAAACGTTCCATTTGGAGTGTAAATTGTATATATATAATTGTATATATATATATATATATATATATATATATATATATATATATATATATATATATATATATATATAAAACGATTGTATTGTTATCTAGTCATATACGAGACACAATGTCACTGAACTATCTCATTTGCCTCATCTATATGACATAGTTACATTGAACTCGCTTCAGTGTCAGTTATTTTTGACTGAAACCAAGCTTAAGTTATTGTCACATGAACTAGATGCTCTTATTTCATCAAAACGTTGTACAACATTGTCATTTAGTTGCAATATTCATCTGTTTGAAGTTATTTGAATTGTGTATCATACACGTAAAAGTGGCGGCAGGGTAGCCTAGTGGTTAAAGCGTTGGCACGTCACGCTGAAGACCCGGGTTCGATTCCCCACATGGGTACAATGTGTTAAGCCAATTTCTGGTGTCCCCGCCGTGATATTGCTGGAATATTGTTAAAAGCGGCGTAAAACTGAACTCAGTCAGTCAGTCATACACGTAAAGCCCGCTACATTGCACGTGTGTCTGTCGACACAGGGCCTTCGACACGACGAGCAAACGCTTGGGTACCCGTCTCACTGCCTCTCTGTCGCCATAAGAGTGACAGGGGTGCCAAGAGTCTCGGACACTGTCTAACGTTTCCATACCCTGCTACAGTGTTACTGTCGTTCGCTACCGCAGAAGTGACCGAGAGGCAATCAGCACCCCTCATACTAATCTGACATGTCCGTTACTTTTCGACCTTAGGTCATGACGGGTACAAAAGCTTCGCATGATAATGTTTTTTTGTGTACGTGCATTAATTGTCATTGGTTATGTTGTGTACATTGGAATATGTATCGCGATTATGTTTATGTACTTTTGATATCTCATGGCATTGTGAACATGTTCTAATAATTAATTGTAAACTTTGCTATTATTGACTGATTATGTAAAAGCATCCTGCTGACTGCTGTGTAATAAACTCCTTGTTTATTTTACTAAGTTTGTTACAATACATAATGATAACCGCCATGTTACATAGAGCATGATGAAAGCACTTCTGTATTTACACTGATAGGATATGACCTTCAAAGTCCTGCGATACCATGTCTTTCATCATGCCGCCTTCATCATAGTAGCACATACAGTTCATGAGATCCATACAACACACATGACACTGAATTTGTCCACTATTACAGCTCATGTAACGCAACTTATTGTTGTGACGACATACACTGCAACTTTTCTGAAGAGGAGTAAGTTTCTCTTCCTGATAGAGATCTTCCATGATTCCACTGGATGAATCAACAGCTGTTATGTCTGTGGTTTGTTTCTCTTGCTGTTCTATGTCCTCCATGAGATGAGTGTAATCCAACCACCAGTCGTCTATAGTAGGTTCTGTGGTAGGTGTTATGGGTCGGGTTGTGAGGGATGGAGTTGACACTGCTTCAGTATCTTCTCCCAGGTTCCTGAAAATGACAAATAAGATTGGAGAATGTAGAACTGCAAACACAGTAACATGTACGTAAATGAAAAGCTATTCCAAATGATAAACTATTTGCTTACTTTGGTTGTAGGCTAGGAGGAGTGGATTTCTTCTTTTGGTCTCTGCTTCTGACCACTTTTCTCTATCTTCACTTTCCTCGGCTTCTTGGCTTTAGCAAGAGACTTGTTGGGTGATCGACTTTTCTGTTCCTTGAATTTCCATCCCTCTCAGTGGTGACAGCAATTTTGAATAATCCAACATCAAGCTCATGAGAGCTGGCGATAGCGAGGGGAATTTCTGTTCTAGGGTCTTCATTCTCCTAGACATCTCTGTGTATGTGGTTTTATACAACTCACTTGTTCGCATCATCGTTTCGTGCAAAATGAAGCTGAGTGTTAAGAATATCCTTCATTTCTTGAAACGTACTCGAGAGCAACTGGTCTGTTGAAAAGTCCACATGTTGAAGGTGAAACATCTTCTGTGCCATATGAATTGCAAGCAGAGGTGTGTTTCTGAAACTTGTTCACTCGATAATGACGATGAAACTGATTTGAAATGTCTAATACTAAAAGGTATATGGTGGGATTGTGTAGAGCATGTAAGCACTGATTGGATGTAGAGTGGGTACACACGCAGTTTGGTTGGTTAATACCTACATCAGTGGAATATTTTATTCTAACTGAGGAATGTTCGTTCGCCAGGGTTGAAATGATTTTCAGAGACCTATGGAATGTTTAATGTATTCTGTGGAATGCTTTATTCCCACTCGTGTGGAATAAGTTTGTTCACCCGTGACATCA